CTGTCTTGAACAAGTACAAAAACATCAGGCAGTTCAATTTGTCTTACGAACAGTGGCAAGGTTTTGATGAAGTACGAAGGCTTATAAGAAAGGTCGCACGTTTATCGGTTAGTGATAAAGGAGGAGAGTTTGTAATTATGTCTCAAAAACCGGATCGCGAATATTAGGTTGATGCAAATTTAATGAGCGTTTTTCTAGGACTTTTTTGTGGACAACTTTTCTCAATCAAACTTCTTCCTTTAAAACAGATTCAACACATTATTGAGAAGCTCTTTTCATGCTTTATACAAAACTGCTTGAAACGGACATTTAGCATAGTTGTTAAGAATTGATAGGGCTTCAAATGATTGCACTCAAATCAGATTTTTGTTGCATTCACTTTTCTGGCCAGAATTCAAGCGCAAATTGAGGCCGTTTTCAAAAATTTAGCCACTAAACGTAATAGAAATTGCTTTTGAAGTTATCTAAGCTAAGCTATCGGCGCCTTAACATGGATAATGCTTGCAATCATTCTATAGCCCGCATCTTTCTTTTGTAAAATGCAATCCCTAAAGTTTAGCTTCTTTCTGTAAGCGTGATTGTAGAGCATTCTGTTGACAGCTTCAGCAAAGGCATTTAGCTGTTAAGCACGCAGAAAATCAGAAAACTCTATTATTCGGGATTTTGAGGCCTACTGAAAAAATGCTGAAAAAGTTGATATTTTTAAATTTTGACTTTTTCCTTTCCGCCAATCTCTTTTCTCCAAGCTCTTTCCTTGTTTTTTTTGTACTACTGACTTGCGGCTACAAGATGGGCAACTTATAAATTACTAGCTGGCTTACCCGGCTCCGCCGTATGTTCCGAATAGAAAATTCCATTTCTTAACCGATCCGGACCAAACTTGGCACACATACACTTCGGGCCCCGGCGGGTGTAACAGTCCACTTTTCGTTATCAATCGATGTCGATTTTATCGATTTTTTGCAAAATTTGAGCTAGGGGGCTGGAATTTGGCAGAGGGGTGTAATCGAGCATGCTGATCACCCCCACGGCGGTGATCAGCATGCTCGATTACCCCCCTGTGCCAACTTCCAGCCCCGTAGCTCAAATTTTGCAAAAAATCGATAAAATCGATATCGATCGATGACGAAAAGTAGCCTATGACAACCGCCGGGGCCCGAAGTGTATGTGTGCTAAGTTTGGTCCCGATCGGTTCAGAAATGGAATTTTCTATTCGGAACATACGTACACACAGACATACAGACAGACAGACAGACAGACAGACAGACAGACAAACAGACATTCAGCTTTATATATAAGATACTAATAATCTGTGAAGGGAGTTATGTTTTGTCAAAAACGAGACTCCAAAAAAAAACTTCCTTTGTTTTTCAATTCATATTTTTCTGCCCATGTGAGATATGAGTACAATTCAATGTGCGTTGTATTAAGGTTCGCTGTATCCGATGGTCTTTACTACATTTCAAAATGTAGATTGTATGGAAAGTTATACCAAGTTGAAGTGAAAATTTGAAAAACGCTCATTATTTTTGCATCAACCTAATATATGAGCAACACCTTTGTGACAGCTACGTTTATCGTCGCACAACTGAGGAAGAAAACTTTTCCCAGTGCAAATGCTTGAACCATGTTTGGCTGTTGCTCGGTAGGGAAGCCGGTTTGAAAGAAAGTTTTTGAGTAGGATTAAAATTGACGACCCGAGTTGCCCCTGCTTACAGTCTGCTAAAAACGCATAAGCTCGTTGCAAACGATCTGAAGTCTACGTCTGCCACTACGTTCAAGATCCGACCAATCATCAGCTGTGTGAACTGTCCCACAGATAGAATCTCATGGTTTCTGAACAAGACTGTCGTCCAACTTCTGGCAAAGTCTCGTCTCACCTGCCCAACTCTGGACATTTTGTTGAGACAAAGCGGCAAGCTAACCATAGCTGCATAATGGAGTCATTTGATGTAACATCACTTTATATGAACGTTTCCAACAGTGACGCTCTTCAAACGCTTCGATGCTTGATGTGCAGTCGAATCATTTCATATGATCATGTGTGCACCCGCACACACCGCCCATCTTTGGCGTCCTCATCCTGGATTTGCAATCGCAAAACGCAGGAGACTGAAAGATTGCTATCGCTTACATCACTCCGAGGTGAATAAAATTTAAAAAAAGAAAACGTTGAAAACGCTTTGAAAACACCTGCATGAAGGGTGCCTCCCCCAAGAATCCAGGATGGAGACGCCAAAGGTGGACGGTGTGTGCAATGTCACACATGATCATACGAAATGATTCGACTGTATATAGATCTTCCATGCCGATGTACGGTCTCAGCAAAGCGCGTATCACGTCTTATCATAATGTCTCTGTAACATCTTCAAGTGGTCGGGAGTCTACTATTCGCAATTGAGAGGGCTGGCAATGGAACAAAGCTTAGCACATGTTCTAGCAATCTGGGTCGGTAGTAATCTGGTCGAAACTCCGAGTTTGAAGCTCCGCGTTAACTCAGAGATAACTCTGAGTTCCGTTTCTGAAACTCTGAGTTACGCTTATTGAAACTCTGAGTTCCGCTTTCGTAATTCCGAATTCCAACTCTCAAGCTCGGAGTTTTGCTTTGAGGAGCTGTTGAGCACTTTGCTGCAAAAGCGACGTTAAAGTAGGGACTCGAACCTGTATGGTCTAGCGTAAAGATCCTCTCACTAAACCGCTAGACCATGACACACCCACGAACCCTAAAATTGCTTTGCCATAATGTACTCACTCATTCCATTAACACTTAGCAGGTCAAAACAAGTTATACCAAAGCCTCACTCATTTCCATTTCTATCGGGCAGTGATGGTTCATCACGAGGATTGGTCTTTTGCGCAGCTGAAAGCTTCGAACAATAGAGAAAGCGGATGGTATACGCAATGATAAGAATTGGCTGTTAGGATTTGCGCACAGAATAAATCCTCCGGGCAAAGTTTGCATTTCCATGATTTCGTCTTACTTACCGTATACCTACCGTAACCGTTCCATATGTCACCAGTGTATGTAGCAGATAGATTGCCCGTAATCTGCATCCCGAATAACTCCAGTGTACCAAATTTCGGCTAATTCCGCCGCCTTAATTCATCTACCGTAAACCTACCGTAACCTCGTCAGATGACACTGCAGTATAATCTACATGTTATATTCGTTATCGGTGCCCCGAATAAACCCAGTGTACCAAGTTTCGATCAGTTTCGTGATTTTCTCCCATCTACCGTAAACCTACCGTAACACCTCTACATGACCCCTTAGTAAAAAATGGGTATCATATGCGTGATTAGCGCACCGAATAACCCCCTGGGCCAAGTTTTTACAAAATTTCAAAATTTTGTAAATTACTGCGCACCACGATACCCCCATCATGCCTGCTTAAACTACGAGCAAAATGTACCCCGGAGGACTTTTTAGCTGCCCCTCTTCTTTTGCGCACTATTTTTTTTTCTCTGACCAAACTCAGAGTTATCTCTGAGTTCCACGATAGACTGGAACTCGCACCAAACTCAGAGTTATCGCAGCCGTGGTAGAGTGCTTGCTATGATAGGCGTGGCGATGTATGTTAATAAGCATCTGGTCAATAAACATAGTCATATCACAGCAGGCCATGCTTACGCATGACCTTTACGGTGCTTTGGCAGCAGATATCATACAACAAAGAAGGTGCCGGTATGATCGGCACAGTATTGGTTGGCATGCAATGACCTCGTATCTAACAGTTGTCTGGTTGGGAATCGCGAGACGATGAAATAGCATGAGATAAAAAAAGATGTTGAAAGAAAGATCTACCCAATGTCTTAGAATCATGTAGGCCAAATATTAGACCGATTTTGGGTAGATTCTAGGTTAGGGTGCTTTTCATTCTCACTTCATTTCTCATCCGGAAGCGTTACAGCAGAGTCTAAAAAGAGTAAGAGTACAAATTTTGCAAACGTAGAAATAAGTTTATCAGATACTGACCATACACCATCGATGCAATACACAATCGTAGAACGCAAAACAATTAAACATTAATTAAACAGAGCATAACTCTAGACAGTAACCACTACAATAAATATAAAACTGTAATGACAACAAACATCTATACTTCAACGGGCGTACTAGGAGACCAAGGTTTGTATCCTGGGAATACAAAAAAAACGTAGTTTTCTGCTATCGCGACTCTTTTCGATCTCGCGGTTGCAAGCTTCCGGAAAATTCCGAGAATATCAAGGTTTAGCACTATTATTGATATTTGTAGCGATTTTCAAGAGCATTTTTTGGTCTTGATGAAGCTAGTGTGTTGTAAAATTCCAGAAGCTCCAATAAATCGCCATAGCGAAAATATACATGTAATAAAAAACTTCCAATTTTTTTCAGAGGTGAAGCCGACATACTTTCCGCATGCATTATAGGGTTTGAGGAAACAAGGTTTGGGTCGAACCCTGACTAATCATTCAAGTTTAAATATAGGACAATCTTCGATGTAAAACCGCAGGATAATTTGTTGAAATGGCGAGTTTTGAACGATTCTGACAGGTAGCATTGATGTGAAGAAAAAACCTTGTACAACAGAACTTTGAGAAAGAAATCTGTGAAAAATCTCAGTACTTCAGGCACAACTTGAGAAGATAACTCTGATACACTAACCATTGACCGAAGGACAGTGGTAGAAAACCTCGCTATATTGACCAGGAATGATGAATGATTACCGATGATTGTAACAGCTATGCATGAACTAACAAACAAAACGAAATCAGCTATTGCAAAGTCTGCAATGGGTGCAAGTGCGAATTTGCTAGTGAAATATGGATGAATAATTATCAGTAGCGGTCCCAGGACTTTGTCCATCGGGGAAGGGGGGGGGGGGGAATTTTTCGAATGAAAGTGCGTGCGAAAGTTCTTGAGGACCCCATAACTCCTTCTAGAAAAGAGGGCATGGCAACAGCCCCGTTCCTAGATTTTAGGCCTTGCAATCGAAAAAAAATTTTTATAGAGCTAATTCGAATTTCTATTCAAAATTTAATTTGACTGTCTACAAGAACAAACATGTCACTTGCACATCTTTACAACTCATTTAAGTAAACTGCAAAAATTTCGGGACCTATTCACCCTCCTTGGGCCGCCACTGATAATTATTTGTATACAGCTGGTTGTACAGCAGCTACTGCCACTTTTGTAGCAGAAAGCCTGGTGCAGTAATCTCCCGTTTACTGATCGGGCCCTGTCACCGTAACGCCCAATCGGGTGCCGGACGCTCGTTTATAGTGGTAAAACAGTGCCCGAACAGAATTGGGAGATTGTCAGATACCGCCCCAGAGGAGACTAAGCAGTTTCAGCTTTAGTGCATTTCTGGTCGACAGCTGAACGTTGATACTCCTGCGCTTTCTTAATCGAGCTTACGAAATCGATCACCTGAAAAATTATCATAAAATACTCTAATGCTGCTGTAGCTATCTACTAATATGCTTATTTCTCTTTCAAGAGAGCTTGATTTCTGCTGTTAAAGTAAACGACGCAGGATGCACGACTGCTATCCTTGCAGAAGCAATTTGCGAATATCTTAACTGAGCTTTGGTATCTTACACCCTTGAGCCACTTTCATAAATTCGCTCATACCGAGAGTTCTGTTGAAAAAGTTAATAAGAAACTTGCACCTTTTATGTAAAATTTTGACGATTCTGGAAAGTCTACAGGCCTTTCAAAAAAGTTGGAAGAAACGCGCATCTCTCCTGATTCTCATAAACTATACATGTTTAGCACTGCCATGCATATTACATGTTGAAAAATGAGCTATCCGAAAATTTTGAATTCTGTGCATGCTATAACTCCTTTTTATGACTTACCTTGAGAGCGGGACCCAAAGCTAAACCCATGTGGCTCATCAGTAGCTCTGTTGTCAGCAAGCCCAATGAACGGCCATCGATTTGCTAGAAAACGAATATCACATTTTTTACAAACGCAAAATCCTACAACCCCTAAGCTCTGTACTTTACCTGCTCGATAAATTTCGCCACAACTGCTTCATCTAACAACTTGCGAAGCTCACTGGCCACCTTATCGATAGTCCATTGTTTCATTGGTGGAGACGATGCCACTACTACAAAGACGAGTATTAGTCGAATGTATGGTCTGATAAATTGCTTACCTAATTCTACGCTCATATCATTTCCTGGTGAGCAAGCCGTGCATGGATCCGGAGAACTCGAGTAGAAGTTCTCACAAACTTTCATCTGAATAACAAGCAATATGAAACAACTGGTAAGTGGAATGTGAAAATCACCTTTTTCAACAACTGTTTGATGTAAGTCCAAGCATCAGCGGAGCTTTTTACACAAGGTATGAAACGAGATCGAGGATGGCCTCCACAATGCGCTGTAAAGCAATAATTGAGTATAAACGCATCCAATGTAACCCCTCCCCCTCTGTGTAAATCTCTGCCTTAATGACAGTGTCGCTGACTTGTGTGACTCGTGTCCTTCGAGCCCACCTCCCACAGACCCTAGGCCGTGTCCGCGATGTATTCTGTGGGCATTTTCCCATGCGTAAACGACGTTTGAAAGCTGTTAAGCATGGCACAATGCCAAGATAATACGCCTCGCAGACTCGGCGCAGGATCCAAAGGAGGCTGCCGCGTGGGAATTCCGCATAAGTCGCTGACACTGTGATTGAAACAGAGGGTAGTCGGAGGGTAAGTGAGAGTCTCCTTTCAACGGAATTAATCTGTATTGAATCATCGCGATAGACTATGGTGACACTTTCTTTTGAAAATAAAGAGAACAGGGGCGGTATTTATCAATTTCCTATTAGTAAGGGGCTCCTGTACAGGTAACAGCCCGTACGGGCGCGGGCACTGGCACCCGCGATATATGGAACCGAGCTGGTGATCGGGCTCCTGTCTATTGAAGAATGTGGTCCGATCTGGCAAGTTTGGCCACGTCAGGCACGGCAGTCAGGCCAGCGGAGCCCACACGTCGAGATCGGGCCCTGCTGTCCGACTGCCGTATCCGGCATGGCCAAATTGCCAGAATGGACCATTTGATAATCACGGGTTGGCGTCTCGCCTTCCGGGCTCTTGTTAAACAATGGCCCGTACAGCGAATGGAAGATTGATAAATATCGTTCCAGAACTAAATCTCACCTGTGACGGAGAGAATCTGAGTGACAGCTGCCGGTTGCACAAGGTTTAGCACAAGCGCATCGTCTTTCGAACAGTTCAATAATTGCTGCACAGCTTCTCTCAAGGCATGATGAGTGGCAAATGGACCGAATTGTCGCCTTATCCCCGCTACCTAAAGCTATCTTTCTTTTGAAGTAAGCAACAGCTAGTGTAACAAGGCCTGTTCAAATCCCAATAAAAAGACTTTCGAAGAATTGAGCCCTTTTTTCGAATAGATATGTGACAGAAGGAAATTGCAGCTTGAAGTCCTTTATAGGAGTCGAAGTAGACTGACTTACCATGATCGGGTCGAGGAATGGACCCAGACGACACGAGTAATTGACGAAGACGGTCACTAAAGAATTGCTCTTACACGAAGTATCATCCATTTTGTGACTACCCTCGATATCATCCCATATGTCTTCCCTCAACATGACGTGGATTACGTGGCTTGATGAGGCGCTGCCTCGCCTCGGGCTCGCGCCATGTTGCGAGCGCATCATTTGGCGCAACGTGGCGCTCAGCACAACGTGGCGCAGACATTTCCACGTTCTTCTTGTTGCCACATCACGCCGAAGATGCGCACGCAAACGTGGCGCAAGCCCGAGGCGAGGCGGCGCCTCATCAAGCCACGTAATCCACGTCATGTTGAGGGAAGACATATGGGATGATATCGAGGGTAGACTATTCGAGAGCGCTTCTGCATACATTAGTTAACAAGCTTGAACATGTTGTCTCGCGCAAGACAAGGCAGATTATCCAAAACGCGTTAAGAAACAAGTAAAAACTTGTTAATGTCAATGTAGGCAAAGAGTTTTGGAGCATATTTAAGAAAATAAAGACTCACTAATTCGTTCCTGCAATGGTATTTCATCTTTTGTCAACAAAAGAATATCGTGTGATCGTTGTTGCGCACCAACGGCTGGAGCAGGTGAGTGTGATTGCGGTGTAGCTGTAGATGTTGATGACGTTGAAGATGCACGTCTTTCTTCCAAATCAACTTTCGGCCGAATCTAAGAACGAACTCAACTGTCTTATGCAACACGCTTTACCAGAACTTACTTGTCCAACCACTTTGGCCAAATCTCGAGTGGTTTGTGATGAGGAGGGTCGTGATACCAAAGGTCGCAGTCCAGAATGAGTTGTGTCAATGGATGTGGTGGTAGATGAAACGACTTCTTCAGCTTCGTTCTGAAATCAATTCTTTTTGAGTCATTCATGAAAGGTCTGCAAGTTCACCCACCTTAACCTGAACATATGGGGAATTCGAAACTCGCCCCATCATTCGTGAACCAGGCAACGACTGTGAAGCGCGTACAGGCTTCAGCGCAGAAGATAGGTACTGAAACATTGTTTCTGACCGGATATAACTATCCCTTAATTGAGTGAAACTTCGCAAAACACAACGAAGCTGTATGAATTCTCAAGCTACACTCTGTCTCATTTTGCGCGAACCCGACTGGAGCGGCTCGAATCGCGCGACCGCCTTGCTGGGGCGTTGAAAAATGGTCAGAGAGACTCTCGCGAAAAAATAGCAAAGTCTAAGTGAGGCGGTCGCGCGAAATACCGCTAAAGTCGGGCTCAAAGCATTGAGACAGCGGGTACCTTCTGAACCATGACTACTTACCGATGATGGCGGTTGCGATAGTTGCTTGGCAAGCCTTTGTTGTTCAACCTGAGCATTTTTGAGCAGATCTGCAACAGCGAAGTGTGATTAATGATTGCTCGGCATAACGGTGACAAAAATTCAATTATATTCCTTCAAACCATTAACTATCCATAAACTTACCCTTCACTTTATTTTCGACGGAAGCCTCCGTTCGTTCCTGCTGGTGCTGTAGTCCTCGCATTCTATCAGTACTCAATATGGGCGTTGTTTTCTATAATACGAAATGATATCTCTTGCTTTCATGTGAGAAAAGTAGTGCTAGGCACTATAGGGCTATGTCAAATTGTGAAGGTGTAAGTGCGACCACCCAGGATGCCACGAGCCTCAAACCGTTGAACAAGCCACGTTCTATTCTAAATCGACTCAGGTAATTGACAGCTATTTATGTGGTAGCAGAAAAACGTTTGACAGGGGAAAAAAACTGAGAGAGCGCGCGTGAAATGGCCGCAAACTCAATAAATTTCATAATCAGGAGAGCCCTGGCGTACCGAGGCAAACCCGAACAACTCGGTAATTTAATGCGATATGTTGCTTAGCTCTCATCCATGAAGACAACGACCCTGGACGCACAGCCCTCCTCTGCCAAGAAAACTGATCCCAAACTCGACCCACAAGCTATCCTTACACGCGCTTGGACTAGGCGTCCCTTTCCGTGTCCGGGCAAGATAGGGTTTTAGGATTTCAATGCCATGCGAGAGTGGTCCCCCCCCCCCCCCCAAACACAACATCGCACAAGCGCGTCGTCATAACGCTCGACTAAAGCAAAACGACCGGAAAGTGGGGAAACTTACGCCTTGGAGCGGGGTGCTCTGAGCTGTCCGATTTTCTGCTATGCGGCAGAGTACGCATGCCGCCACAGTTAAAATGAGGGTCCCGCAGCGACTCTGCGTCTCTACCTTAGTGGGGACCCTCAAATTTCAATTGCGCGGCTTTGCGGGTAGGGGAACGAAAGCCGCCACTTCGAGCCGCCTGCCGCGTCCAACAGGTCCTTTCCCAGTGCTGTTGCATGTCATTCCAGGATCAGTAGACGCGAAGGCGGCCCAGACTGGCGGCTTTCGTCCCCCTACCCGATTTGCCTTCTAATGTGGATTTTCGGATTCAGCGTTGCGGATAACCCCCGGTAAGTGGATTTTCCAGAGATTGAGTTCTTGCCCGGACACTGCCGCATGCCGCAATGGTATAACCATGACGGCCCTGCACCGACTCTGCGTCTTCAATCGTGGCGGGAGCTGTTCCACGTTAGAATTTTGATCAAAGGCCTTGAGAGAGGTTAGAGGACCATATGTCGCCGAAAGATGATCCCACGCAAACATCTGCGTCAAAGCATGCAGCTCCACACGCTGCAGGCATTACAGATTTGCAGCAGCTGTCCGCGCGCGGTGGAGCCTATCGGTGACATATAGTCCCTAACCTCTTGGAAATACTCCCCTACGCCATCTTCGCGCCCTTCAAGGTGATTTTGGATCAACGCATAATATAACCCCAGGTTAGCAAGAATTCTTCACGTTGAGTGCCGCGCCATGCCTAAGAAGCAGCGTTCAGGCGGGGTGCAGTCGAGATCCGATATGACAGATATAGATTTGATACGCGTGAATTTTGCGCAGAGCCACTTCAACACCGGAGAGTTTTGTGGAACAGAGCATTCAAACGCGACGTGAGCCGCAAAGCAGCCGCCGCGCGTGGCGTGACTCCTGACGTGGAGCCCAGTAACGTACGGGTGGGGGACTATACATCGACTATCGTAGGCTCGACCCCGTGCGGACGGCCAGTACAAATTGTAGTTTTTGTATGATGCATGGCTGCGGGGAGCACTTCTTTCGGCGACATATAACTCTATACCCGTAATGTACATAGACGACTTGGTTCGGCAAGGTTTCGTGTGCACGTGGGCGGTGGCTCCGCAGCAAAGGCATGCATCCCGAAACAAGTCGTCCGCCAGGTACGGTAACGGGGTTTGGTTTTGGAGGGGGGGGGGGGCGAAATCTCAGCTGCAGGTGCACCATTAGTTAGCCCAACGCTGCCTTCAAGATGAGATTCGGCCTGAGCTTTCATTAGAGATCTGGGCGGAAATAATAATGGATGTCCTATCACCTAACATTGTAAATGAGAGCTGATTATTGCCACAAGCCAAAGGAGAGAACTTGGGTGGAACAACTAGATATGCTGCGCTTCCCAAACTCACAATAAAAAAAGATCAGTTTAGACTTACCTCAAAGGCTAATCTGGCCGAACTATTAGTTCCTGTAGATGATGACGAGGAGCTTCGTAACGAACTGCCTTCTACTGATTTTTTCAAAGGTGGTGTTGCCATACCGGCTTTCAAAGAGGACGGTCGTTCTGAAATGATCAGGATTAATAATGGACAGTTTCATGAAGCGCATTCAAACTATGAACAAAATAGCTTCTTCACAAGGATGACTTACTGTTTGATCGCCCTCTCCTTATGCTCTGCAATGGATTTACATGCATGTCTGACAGCCGTATGATATGTTTCGAGGAGGAAGGCTGATGATGGGTAGGATAAGTCCGATGCGTAGGTTTGGAAACGCTTGGTCGTTGGACTTTCGCCTTTTGATCTGCAGATGCACTATGGCGTGCTGCGGTAGGAGTTGTTTTACCTAAAGCTGGTCCAGTTGTAAAAGACATGAATTCTGTACAAAAACAGGAATGACGGCATGTGTTGGCATGAGTAACTTGTATGTTTCTCTACTAAATATAGGACAGTTAAAGGCCTATAAGCCTTGTATCATCACTCCCGCGCAGCTTTGAAGTAGAGGACATCAGCCGAAAGGAGAGATCCACGCGGATATTCGCAAACCCCGTGCTCTCACCATTACTGTGTCATGTTATCTGACCGCGTGCATGGAGTCTATTGGCACCTAATGTCGGATAGAGGACTATAAGTCGCCGTATGTGAGAGGGTCCCGCGCGGACTTCTTGCAAAAGCATCTCCACGAATGTGCAGGGGAGTGGGGGTATAGGTACAGGGCTTCTAAACTGCAGAGTCGTTTGCCCCAGCGGTCGCACGACCGCGTCGCGCCCGGGCATCAAAAGCGCCGCCTCGATCGATGGCGCCGGCGCCGGCAAAATGCACGGGCGTGACGCGGCCGCGCGACCGCTGGTGCAAACGACTCTGCAATTTAGGAGCCCTGTAGGTGCCAGAGTAAGCGAATATTTTGTTCAAGTTGGGGTCCCGCGCAGAATTGACGTCACTTGGATTGACACCAGCATGGTGAGAGACGTCAATTCTGCCCTGGACCCCAACCTGAACAAAATATTTGCTTACTCTGGCACCTACCATATGTCGCCGTTAGGCGCGCGCCATACTTGGTCGCTCAATCCACTTGATCCGCTTCGTCATTCGTCGATTCAATGAAGTGACCAGTAGCGAAACGGTTATCCGCTTGATCCACTTCATCCACTTCACTATGCAGTTCACTGAATTGACCAATGATGAAGCGGATCAAGCGGGCAAGTGGATTAAGCGGATCAAGTCCAAGGATGCGTATTTGTTGCAAATGACAGTGGGGGCCGCCCCATTCGGCGACATATATCCCCCACCCGCTATTAGAACCTGGCTCGGCAAAACTAAACATATTAAGATTTTGATTTAGTAAATTGCTTACCTCCCAAACATGGAAACAGACCGAGTCGTGCGCTCAACACCCTCACCCCTGCCGAGAAAACACGCGCTCAGACGAGGCGTTTCCCCTTGCAAATAAGAAGCGGCATGCTCCAACACTATAATCGTGAGGGTCCCACAATGACTGCGTTTCCAGCCTTGGCGGGAGTTCTCGCGGTCTTTAGGCTGCGTTCATGCTGATTCCGAAGTTCGGTAACAGTTCCAGCACAGCCCTTGTACTGAGCGCTGTGCTGGAACTGTTACCGAACTTCGATCAGTATGAACGCAGCCTTAAGTCAGATTTTCGGAATCAGCTCGTCCACAGGTAAGCCAAAAAAAAATTTGATCCGCCATTTGCCGGGCTGTGTCAACCACGTGCTTCCATTTCCGTAAGCGCAATCACCACGCCAAAGCTTCGCGCCACCTTCGCGCGCGCAAGGCTCGCTTTCAAATCGGCTTCATCGATTGGATGTCCGCAAGCAACGCCTAGCATTTCGCATGCGTAGTTCTCACGCGAAAAGGAGTGCGTGGCACAGACTATATCCTCTGTCGAACACAGTGTCGCCGGTTCGTGCGTTCCTGTGCGGCCGCCTCGTGCGGAGTCAACGCCGCGCCGACGTATTCTCTGGGCGCGTACTAACACCAAAGCAGCAGTTGAAAGCTAGCAAGCTTGGGCGAGTGCCCATAGCGTATGTCAGGTAGAGGTCAGGTAGAAGGTGGAGCCCGCACCGCACGAGCCGGCGGCACTGTATTTGAAGCGGAAGTCTCTTCCATTAAATAATGTGCAACAAAAGAATATAGTCAGTGGTCATGAAAGCAGTAAACTGAGTACGAGTTGCGATATATATGAGACGCGAGCAGAGGGCGTGATTCTATCATTTAATGAGCTAAAAAACACTTTGCACTTGTTATCTACGCTTATTACTATCGCAGCTTTTTCTATATAACCGATAGCTGTTATGATATCAGCTGAGCATCACCGCAGCATTGTTTCCATGGGAAACCGTAGATTTAACCAAACGAAAAGCCATCACCGCACCCCTTTATTTCGACTTTTAGATATATGGCAGACTTTTTTTCGCGAGTTTGTTACATGAAATCCTTGCCAAATACTCATTCACGTATACTGAAAAAAAATCTCGCATTTGAACATGCATGGTTCTGTGTCCCCAGCATACTTGGGTAATTCGAAAATTTTTCATCGAATGAATGAATATCGAATAAATTCGAAAAGGAAAAATTTCGAATAAACGAATATCGAATAAATTCCAAAATAAAAAATTTCGAATAAACGAATATCGAATGAATTCGAAATTTCTCGAATGAATGAATTCCGAATAAATTCGGGAAATCAGAAATATCGAATGAATGAATACCGAATGTATTCGAACACTGGAAGTCGAATTTCGAATAAATATTCGAATGATTTGTCGAATAACTAGAGCAACCATATCTCAGACTTGCCGACATATCTGGCTAAAGCCGATCCATTCATAATCAGCACCCTAGTCCTCTATACCAACTCCTAGCGTACTTTCCAAAAAACGCTGGAATCGATATTTAGATTTCGGTTTTAATCAGCACATCCTCATTTACCCCCCTGCACCGACTTCCAACCTCATAAGTCAAGATTTTCTGAAAATCGACAAAATCGATAAAGCAAATTTTTACTAGCACCCTCACTTACCCCTTTGTACCAACTCCCAGCACCGCAGCTCAAACTTCTCCAAAAATCGATAAAGTAAATTTTTATCCATAATCAGCACCCTCTCTTATCCCTTTGTACCAACTTCCAGCCCACAATGGAGGGCATTTATCTTTTCAGTAAGTTGTAAACGCTAAATTTGTGGTAAGCTGGCGTTACATTTGAAGACATCTCGTAACTGGCAAATCGCATACGACGATCTAAACCGTCTGATCCTCCACTCAGCTGCAATGTCCTTTACTCAAATTACACCAATTCGCAAAAAATCTCTGAGGTAGCGAATAGAGGCAGTTGTGCGATATACTTATGCGAGCAAGAGTGCTCACTAGTGTAGGCTTTGCATACCACAAGTATGAGCAATGCAAAAAAAGAAAAACAAGCATTTCAAAACACTTCAAATATATGAACTCGGAACATGAGCTTGAATTCGATAGCTTCTTTGCTGATTTGGTGCCAATAGCTGTGCGAACAATCTCATTGATCGAAAAAGCATCAGTTGAAATCCACATATGATTTTTTTTACTGTCGCAAGCAGTCGGAAGAATGCGACTCTCCATACAGTTCAAAGGTCATAACGGTTGCAAAAGATGCATTACCGAGTTTTGCGAAAAAAAACGCGGACGAAGTGAGCTTGATACTTAGCAGTCGGCTCTGCAACAAAGTCGAATAATTTGAATACGGAGTTCATTCGAATACGATTTCGAATAAACATTCGAATAAAACATTCGAATAAAATCTATTCGAAACCCCGTTTTTTTATTATTCCAGTTTTCGAATGATATTCGAATCCTCGATTTTTGATTAATCGAGTTTCGAATTTTATTCGAAACCCCGTTTTCTCAATTATTCGAGTTTCGAATATTATTCGAAAACGGAAGAACTCCGAATATCGATTTTCGAGTGCGAATATATTCGAATGTTTTATTGGAATAATCGAACTTCTATTCGATTCGGACCCAAGTATAGTCCCCAGCGTATTTTTCCATAGGCAACACCGCATCGCACGCCTATCGGCGCCTTTTTGCCGCCTTCGCGTCTTTTGGCCAACCACTAATGCCGTACCACCGCGTCGAGGGCACCAAATGGGCTTTGTCGGAAGTACTTATGAAAAGAATCTCGGAACAATTACGAACTGAGCTGTTCTTTCATTATATTACTATCACAACAGACTATAGGCGATGCATTGATGTAACCTGCTCCCCCTCCCCCCCCCCCCCCAACAAAAAAAGACAGACAAATGCCGCCCGCCCATTCGAGGATCGCGGCGTTTTCGAAAAGCATGCAAAAGCTTGCATCAGACGGGACTAGCACCTTGCACTCGCCCGCTTGCCAAGCCTCTAGGAAGAGAAGATTTCAATTCCACATGTTTTGAAGTATTTGAAGGCACCGTTCACCCAAATTCTAAACTTCCTGTTTTGATCGTTCCGGGGCCTTCTCATGTCCCTGATTCCGAATATGAAATCGAGAATCCGCGAGAACTCCAACGATATCTCCAACAATATCGATGTGATGTAATCATGATTCCGTTTCGGAAAACCCACAGGCCGGCTTTCCGGAACGGCGACTGGGTGGGCGCGCACGGATGGGCGGGCATTGATAAGGAGGGCGGTGCCGTCTGGGTGTCCTCGTGCATCGTCGTTATTCCGGCGCGATTTTCTAGCATTTGAAGCGACACTACGCTGCGACTTGGGTATTGGCTTGGTAGGGGACCCTAATATCATATACCAAAAGTTCAAGACCCTCAAATTAGTGTGAACGGTGCCTTTGAGACTGAATGAGGTCTGCAAAGATATAAGCATGAAAGTGGAATGATTGCCGACAGCACCTAAAAACATTTGTAAGGACAAGGAACCGTGCCTCTCATCATTGCAAGTTGTAGCTGCCGCACTCCAGGCACATATAACCGGATGTGATGTAATCATGATTCCAAAATCTATGAGGACAGTGATGGTAATAACGGGAGCCTATACTTATTATGCACTATGAAAATGGAACTTGCATATTTACACTAAAGGGAAAGATATATGACATTATTGAAAAATAACCCCAAATGCACGATGCAATAAAACTGTTTGGGAGAGTTTTGTTCGAAGGTTTTTTGAAACAACACTTGTCTGAGCCGGGGACTGGACTTTTTGTTGCGAAGTATGTGTGGAGGTCAAGGACGGAATTGTTCGAGGCAAAAGATAATGATCCAAGATCAAACTTCAGCGGAATTTTTCCGCTAAACGCGGGAGAAAATAGAAGGTAAGTTTTCCAGAGAAAGTCCTTTCAAATGTACAACTAAGCGCTCAAACGTATTGGTCTACATATACCCAAGTAAGCGATGATGGCGCAAAATCCAGTCCAAAGCAATTATCTGCACTAGATTATGGGCAAAGTGCTCCAACATATGACGTTAACGTCATGGAAGTCATGAAAGTGCACTGCCAGTAAAAGCTATCATATTAGAGGCAGGACAGGTAGATTCTGAATGAGCGAAAACTCACTCTTTCCTCCAGTCTTCGGTGGGCAAATTTCGACTCCATTACTTTGTGACCATCCAACTGGCAGAACATATCGTGTGGTGTATGGCTCTTTGATGTCATATCCATTATTCCAGCCATCAAAGTGTATTTGTATTTGTGTCTGCAAAAGCGAATGTAGGAGATAAACGAAATTCTAAGACGAAGAAATTATGTCTGCTCGAAGCCATATGAGCAAAAATAAATTCAGGAAGTAAGGCATGATACGTTTAAGAGAAAAAAAATCGTGACTTCGACTGAAGTTCAGAACGCAGTGCAAACCGCATAGCATAGAAAAGTTGAACGGAAGAAACAAAGATATATACATGAAAATAACCGATAAGGAAAGTCTCACCTTGGTAGCATCTACGATAGTAGCCGGAGAAGTTTTACCATTAAAACTTCTTTGATCAATTGCCTCCACCTTCTGGCCTACTTTGAACAGGTTCTTGGGGGGCCGAAGGTTTTCTGAGATCTGAAAGAAAATTGTTAGAGAAAGTCGTCAAAACGCTATTGACTTTAATTCATAAGGTCTATTGCCGGACAAAGGCGGTCGGCAAATTATGGGTAATAGAACCGCTTCGAGCCCTTCTAACCGTCTTCATGCAGTAGCTTTGAAGGCAGTGCAAAATTCTGAGCAGCTGATGAGAATGCGATAATGAGCAAACCTTTTATCCGCAACGCTGAATCCGAAAATCCATATTAGAAGGCGCGAAAAGGGCGAGAACATGCCTTTTCCAAAGCCTTACAATTTGAAATTCGACTGTTCCTGCCAAGGCTGAGACGCGGAGTCGCTGCGAGACCCTACGATTTTGATTGTGGTGGCATGCGTACTCTGCTGCATGCATGGCAGGAATTGAAACAGGTCGGAGGACCCCGCCCCAAGGCGTAAGTTACTCCTCTTCCCGATCTTTTTCTTGCTTTAGGTCGAACGTTATAACGTCGTATTTGCGCAGTGCTGTGTCTGAGGGAGGCCCAAATTCGCATGGCAGGAGGTCCCGAAACTCCCATCTTGTGCGGACACTGCCTTCAAAATTGCTGATACTTTCACCCCTCACCTCGCCCCCTTCTATGTGTTTGATCCGATGTTTGTCAGAATTGTTATATACAAATTCTGCATAGAGAAAGCTCCCAGTATATTCATAAACTTACTGGTCGAAACCACTGTGGTGGGCAAAGCATCGACTCTCCTGTTTCTTCGTCGGGTTTCAAATGTTGTTCCAAAAACTTTGGAAATGTGCCATGGTGGTGAATGAAACCAATAGGTGGATTCAATTTCATTTGATCCTCTGCGGTTTCGCTAAATTTGGCACATACAAATAAAAAGTGCGAAGTGCATAGAATAGAAGCTATTATCTGATGCTCACCCGATAGGTTGTATGGACTCATCATCACAGAAAATCCACTTTTCATGCGAGTTGTCCAAGCCCTCGAGACGAACACATAGCCAAAGCTTGTAAACGTTAACAACTGTACCAAGGCAGAACATAGCGCTGGTACCTGTTGGGCCTAAAAATTCGAGGTAAACAACAGCAATAAGAACAATGACTTGATCAAAATATTCAAAGTGACTACTTCTATTATACTTGCTCCCGTGAATTACTCCGACTAAGAGATACTCTACGAATGTGCTTCTTCTCTCGAAAAAAAGAGCGATGTACGAAATCAGATAATTCTTACAAACAGAATTTTCATCAAAAAACATCCGATATGGAGGTATATATCTCAAATAGCACGATGCGCGAGCGGGCCAAAGCTGATTTATGGTGTACACTTGAACCAAGGATATGATCAGTTTCATCACAAGACTACAAGGGAACGCAAAAAGGAGAGAAGGTTCAGTTACCCATGTCGACCTTCAGGTGAAATTTAAAAAAAAAGAAAGAAATAAAGAATCAAGGGCGTACCTCTAGGATCAGCGATCATGAGCTTCTTTCCAATCTGGAATTTATTCTCCGGCGGAGTTTCCGGTTGAAAGAAACATTCTCGCGGGGCAGCTTCAGCATTCTGTTCTTTGAGGTAAGCATCCCAGTCAAATGTTGACGGTGGCTAAACTCAAAGATGTTCGAATTTGACTGGCAGTAATCTTTATGAACAAAATTGATAGTTTTTTGAGAAAAGAAGTTTGAAGAAAAAGATACGTACCGCTGGCGGTGGCTCGACCACCGGTTCTGCTTCTGGTGCTGGGTGACTCGGTTCTGCAGGACCAGGTTCTTCGTTTCCACTAATTTCTTCTTGATGTTCGCCTGCACTCGCATCATCGGGGTGAACTTCATGCTCGTGAATGTCACCCAGCTGCAATAATAGTTCAAAGCATAAAAACAACATAAAAACAATGATAAAAATAAATTGCATTCAAAACGTTGTCGAAAACGTGACAACTCGAACAAAAAATCAGCCTTAGGCATATTGCCAAGGTAACCGGGCAACATGCCAAATGTCTTATATACCTCCAATTCTTCGGAATGTTCGCTGCTTTCACGTTCCATTACCGGATCCATCGGAACATCGTGGCCGAATTCTTCGGCTTCTGGAACGGCGTCAGCCATTGAATGGCGTCAGAATACTGGAATTCAATTTGTCGACAAAATTATACTCTCCGTGGCAACATATTTGAAAGTGCGGGTAAAGATATTATGACTGAATATTATATATCACTCTCTGTAGTAGTTCAGCTCAAAAAATGTTGAATCAAAGAAGCAAGGTAAATATTACGTCACACTCTCAGGCAGAAAGAGAAAATCTGCAAAGAGCGCGCTGGACTCCCTTTGTTGGTTTTTTCTTCGAGTCGCATGCAATTCAACAGATGACCGCTATATAAGGTGAGAAGAGAGAAGGAGGGGCTGATTTGAATTTGCGGTTGATAAAACGCGCTCTAATTACAACTTTATGGACCTGAACAAGAACTAGATTTCCACATTTTTTGAGCTATTGTATTTGATTACATTATGATATTGTTCTTGAAGTGGTGAAGGGAAGCCTTAGTAGGCTAGAAAGAATGGTCAGATAATAAGGTGAGGAAGAAATGATCTAAAGGCCTGATTCAAATTTGGTATCGAATAAGCGCGCCCTAATTGTAAATTCATAGACCTATGAAAAAACTAGGATTTCACCTTTTTGGAAGCTATAATATTAGACTGGATCTCAACTAGTTCGTAAAGGTCCATTAACAGAAGTCCTACTAAGCTAGAAAAGAATCGACAGATAAGAAGGTGATAGATAAGAAGGTTCCCACAATAATCTGTGCGGAGTTGAACTGGAGCGCGATAACTATCGCTTTGCAAAAGGATACGGTAAATTGTGATGAACATATGTCTCCGGCAGCTAAACAGATTGTTTAATTGCCGTTAATTGGCTCTAATCAAGCGCACGCTAACGAGGCGAAAGCCAGATCTCTACAGTAATGCATGGGTTACTGTACTTTAATGACCTACGGTTACGGTAATGAACGCCGAGGCCAATGATATGCAGCGGCGCATGCAAGGTGTTCGCGTTGGCGCGACGTATCGACGTTCAGCGTCGATAATCACGCCTGAGAAGTGCAGAAGACGTCACGACGACGTGTCACTACGTCACGACGTCATCTGCCACGTCACCACCGCACATCAGAAGATGAAGTAGGTGTTGAAAATCGCTGCATGTGATGTGCTTGTCGCAAAACACAAGCGACGGACGACGGACACACACACGCATCGACGCATAAACACCATCGCGACGAACACCCGCACAGCCTGCGCTTGTGTGTGTGTGCTGCGATCGATCGCACCATCACCAGCGTTCGACAACCCACGACGACAACAAGAAGTGCAAGAATGCGACGTTGAAGCTGTTAAGGTATTCATACACCGAATCGGTAGCTGACGGGGATGAAAAGATGCGATGCAAGTTGACGAATTTGCGGCTGATGATTTTATCGCCGCTTGAAGTTATTGATCGCCGAAAACTGGCCATGTAAGTTTCGACTCTCGGCAAGCTCCAATGAACACTGAACATTCGGGGGAATTGAGCTCCCTACTCAACCCAGTCCGACGAACCCAAAACCCACTAGCCAGAAGGTTTCGCAGCATTACCATGGTTAGACGAGAAATCTGCTTATCAACAGGTTCAACATGTTCAAGATCGCGCGATTTTGATATTTAGATCCATGACTGCCGTTCGGGACCCTGGGTCCATTGCTTCGCATCTTAGCAAAGTTAATGAAGTAATATTACATCTTCCGCATCTGACAGTAAAAAAAACTCAAACTTACTCGTCGACTCTAAAAAATTGCGTGATTCAATCAACGAACGCGTCGAGTGCTTTGAGCGCTTACTGGTTTTACTTCAGAATTTCTAGGTCTTTGGCATCTAAATTTTGCGCTCTTATTCTTGGCGTTTCGGGAATTCCCTGATTAGCCGAGACTGCTACGCGGTATCAGAACCACATTTTGAATTAAGGGTTCTTACTACCTGGCTACCTTGTTTTTTGAAGGGTGAGATATTATTAGCATCGAGCAGAAAAGGCACGGTTGTAATTATGCCGACTCCAATAATTCAAATCGATTTTCTGTCTGGCTTCCCTGTCAATTTCCTTAGAAATATATCATCTCCATCCTCGGAATGTATATGCTCGGTTAGGCTATCGATTTTTGCATGGTGAGGCCTCAATGATATGATCATCATCGATTTCTTTGATTGGAGTCAAGTAAACTGCCTGATTTACAATGCACTGATATGAAAGTCCAAAGCTCAGACTGGTGTTAGTATACAGCAGTGTTAGTATAAAGGTCCAATCGCTTACCCGATTCCTAAATGGCACTCTGGAAACGTTTTTCCTTTCTTTCATATCAAATGCGAAATCATAGCTCAAAAACACGAATTTCCATGTGATAATCAGCAGCGCAATCCTTCGACGCCTATGAGTCGCATATGTGAGCACACCTGCCCGACCGTATTGATTTTTGTCTCGCCCTCGTCATTGGCCAGTTAGCTACCGTACCTCCTACCGTATATAAGCAGCTACGCCATTAGGGACACACTTTTTTTGGTAATGAACCCATTTGCGACATTGCAACAATGCCCGAAGTCTTTAGTTTAATTACATCTTAATCTTCAACACATTTTGTATGTAATTCGCTGTCTTTAGCCAGCTTATTTAATCGGCTTAAATTTATCTGCATTCATGGGGTGATCAATAAGACTGCTTTTGAATACAGTTGGAGCATAATAGAGTCCTGGTACATTTACGCTACATTCACTCGTAAATCGATATGCAGCTAAACTCGAACTCGATGACTGCAAAGGCTTTTCAAGCTTTTCTTCTTTTTTCTTTTTTTAGTGTATGAAAAAATCAGCACCCTGGGTTATTGACTGCAACATGACAAATGCTGTCGAAGGAAAAAATCAATGGACTTTCACAAAAAGCAAGTCGTTTCGAGCAGGCGAATTACCCAGGATTGGAAGAGGGGGGGGGGTATAAAAGAATAAAAGTTCTATGATGATGCAAGAGCAAAACTAGAAGAGAACCCAATTTTCTAGGGACTAAGGCTCAGATGTCATATAATTGGCTCATTAGACTGCCTATCGATGTAAACACAGTTTGCTGCCATCGTTAGGCGTCTCCTTCTTTGTAAAAGAAATGGAAAGCTGATTCGATGGAGACAGCTGATTCTGGAGCTTTTTGAACGAACATCAAGCGAAGCCTAATGCAAAGAGCATATATTATATATTGAAACAAATGAAATGTTAGAAAATGATTGCCAAAAAAGATACAAAAATTCACAAAAAATTTTCTGTATCTGTTTTCACACTATCCGGTTTCGGGGCTAAGAACTATACCGGTAGTGCAGCTTCCTTGGTGCCCCTCATCAGTAATTTTCAAGAAAGCTTCAAAAATTTTTAAGAAGTAGCCTGCAGAACTTTAGCGGAAGGAAAGGCATAAAGTCTGAAAACAAGTTAGGGCAAACTTGATGCAGAAATCATATTTACATTTTAAAATTATAATTACAATGTTTCTATAATTACATTTCAGATCCTTGCCTTCGTTACACCTGCATAAATCACTTGCTGTTCCGCTGCTTCCTAAAATTCCTCGCAAGCTGAAAAGAGCAGACATGCCAAAAAAGGCTACTGTTTGCGTGACAACAAAAATCGGGAAATTGGAAGCGAATGACTGCAAAAATTTGCAATCGATTTATTGATCGCCTTGAATCATGTGTTAAGATAAGTATTTGTTGTTTTATGACCTGATGATTCAACATTGCTATTGCTCCTCAGTGCTAGTCGAAGTTAGTGTTTACGCGACGTTAGGTTTGTTTACTTGTTTGTCCACTTCGTATTGATTTGAACGCATGCTGTTGTTGTCGTTTTGCGAACTGGTATTATGTCAAGGACGCGATCGGTAAAATTTCTGAAAAGTGGGAAAATAAACACTCCCCGAGCCATATTTGCAGTGTCAATAAGCGAACAATTTGCTCAAAGCAGTTCACACTTCTCGATCAAAAAATCTTGACCACTTCCTTGCTACGAAATAAGCTCTATCTGAGCGGACCAGTTAGAGTAATCTCGAAATGGGTAAATTCATACAGGGTGTCCCGAAAGTATGTATACACCAGTGGCATACCAGAGTCGCGAAATTTTTGAAAGCTACTTAAATGTGTTATAAAAATTTGCAAGCGATTTCTTTTCATATATGAATAATAAAACAATTTTAAAAAATTTTTAAAAATCAAATTAGCCTTGTAAAAATTTCTTTTCGTGGGCAGCCCCCTTTTTGAAATTTCTGGGTCAGGGGCAAACATTTTAGGAAGCATCCCAAAAAAAATTTTCGGCGTCAGCCACGCACCTTCATCCGAAAAACTTCTTTGTCGTCCCCCCCCCCTCTGAACGGAAATCCTGGGTACGCCACTGGTTTGCACTTTTCAATACCTCTCTTCTCAGAATTTTTTTTGCTTCCCTTTAGGAATCATTTTGTAGAGCTGGGCCTCACTTATAATCAGATCCACAGTATAGAGCGAACCATCGGTCGCTCTCTTACTTTATAGGGTGGAGGTTTGAAGAGGGTTTTCAGCCATTGTGAGCCCTCTTGGTTCAAAAAGCGAACCGAAACAATTTGGAAACTCTTATAGTAGGCGAATCAGTGCTTTGATACTGAAAGTAACATTTGCGCTTTTCCGCAATGCTTCGTTCATAAGTTGTGCCTAGACCATTTAAAAAGCTTTACAAGCTTGTGAAAGCTGAGTAATAAAATCAGCTGCTTGAGTATCTGATACGCAACTTCTCAGAATTTTTAAAAATTTTCTTATGCACTATTAATTCGCAATGATGATAAACTGAAATTTCCTACTGTAATTCTGCGCTGATAAAGTGCAGGCGATGATTTGCTTCATACTGTAAATTACGTTGAAGCCAGGTCTACAAAATGGTAACTGAGGGTGAGCAAAACTTTTTAAGAAGAAAGATGTTAACAATCAAGCGTGTATACATACATACCTTTGGGACATCTGCTGTAGTTTATTACTTCCGACTCGAAAGAATGCTTGCATCTTTGCTCATGAGATCTCAATCATCGCTTGAAAGGTTTTCACTGGTAGAATCTGCAAGTATACATTTTTTTTTGTTGGGTAAACCAAGGTCCTACCACTTAACTGCTCATTTATAGTAGCGAACAGCAGCTAACTATGTACATATTAGCATTTATCTATATCTCTATCAGTAAGTGACTTTGTTTATTCTTGTAAACAATTAAAATAATTTTTATAATTTTTTAAAGATTCAAATTGGCCTTACAAAAATTTTTTTCGGGGCGTGGCTGGCGCCACGCCCACTTTTTCAGGTTTTGGGTGTTCGGGACCCGCAAAAAATTGAGAAGAACCCCTAAAATTTTTTTGGAGTGCGTGGCTGACCTGCGCTTCTTCATTTGAAAAATACCGCCACTGATCTCTATAAAAACTCAAAAATTGTCAGTTTGGAGGGTGCGTTATAGGGCCCGTGGTTGGATAACCGATTTAGCTGAAACTTCGCACACAGATGTTGTCGACTCCGGAGACGGTTTTAGCTACTTTTTACGGAAACTGTGCGGTCCTTCCATAGATTTATTGATTTGTTTACTGACTTCTGGAAATTGAAAGCTTCCAGTTACCATCAAGTCATTTCACCACAGTCACGTGAACAGGAACGGTAGATCTGATTTTTACTCGTTGGTTAAGCAGCATGCGGTGACTGTATGTGAGTCGCTTAGAGGGACCCTCTGTTCCTAAAGATAATCTCACAGGTGGTATTCTGTGCAGGAGAGGAAGTAAAGCGAGGTGGTCGGAGTGTAGGTGAAGCGCGAGTCGAGGGGACGTAAGTCCTGCCATTTTGCTCGAGAATGTGCACCGCTTGACGACCCGACTGCTCAATTCCATATGGAACCGTGTATGCCGGGGCTAGTATATTATAGCAGAAAGTCTATGTTTCTGTAGACGGCGTTGGGCATGGACAGACTGAGCAGAAACTTTGGACATATGTTTTCGATCCCGATAGTAGTCATAGGCTACTATTTATGCGATCCGGGATCCCTCTATTTATTTTTAGCACTTGCTTAATAAAATCGTGTCAGTCATTGTCATTCCTCTTATCACACTGTCAAACAGCTAGGCATGTTCTGTTCTGAGTTTTATCCGCGCAAACGAAGTAAAGGAAGTAATTCTAGTGAACATCTTTATGAACATCTTTACCGCTGGCTTCAAAAGGTCTCAAAGAAATCAACGAATTGTGTGCTATCTTCGAGTTACAAGCGGGCGATTTTTCTTATGGGTGCGCGCAAGTTCCACTGTTATAAACAATTGCTTAAGTCTTAGGTTTACTATAAACTTTGAGCGCCACCTTCCAAGAACACTTACAGATTGATAGCAACGTGATTTTCTAAGGGAAAAAGATAGATATATTTGCTGTAGCTGATTGGCAATTAGGATGTCTACGACATCAAACTAAAAAGCATCAGAAGGCAACGACGAGTGAAGCAAAGCCTCTTGTAGCAGCTGCCATGGAGCGCATGCATTAACATCCCGCCGGAGAGGGGATCGCCTTAGAAAGCTTCATAACCTGAAGCTCCGAACTTCTGGATTTCATGCTGTCCACCCATCCGTAAGTATTTCTACCATTACCACTATGAACATATTGAACAGGAACGAGAAGCTTTACAAGTTGCATCTTCTAACATTTTGTATGATTCCCTGATGATCCCTGGCGGTCGACAATCTTTTCTTCAAAGTCATTTTCCTTTCCTCAAAGTTATCGAAATCATCCCAAAGTTGTACTGTTCATTTAG